AGGGGCGGGGGAGGGCGGAGTAGTGGGTGAAGTACCTCTCTTTCCGCTCAACCAAGTCTGCTTGGAGATCATCCTTGTTGTAGGGCTTCACCTCGGGCCTTTCTTCTCATGTCAGCCCGTGCACGTACTGTAGCCATACTTCCCCTGAGAATGATCCCACCTCCGAACCATTAATGTACTTCGCACAACCGTGTGGACGCTACTTGCTATTTTCCCAGTCTTTCTTATATCTCGTCACACTAAGCCCACTCCTACGTTGCATGACAAGATCAAACAACGGCTGTGAAGGATACCCGGAGCTTACTCAGCGATACTGAAGACGATGATTGCCCATGGTTTTAATGGCAGCATTTGTCATGGTGCAAGTTCCTGTTTTAAAATTTTGCATTTTATTTTGTGCTAACTACGAGAATTCGAGAATTATCAGTTATCATTTGTAGTATTAACGAAATAACTAGTCTTTGTGAGGCTTGTCCTCTTCTCCCTGGTCTTCGTATGACACACCAAACTCGTTGACTCTCTTCATATCGACTGGGTACAACCTGCAGACCAATATGCTTTGAATTTTAGTTTCAACTAAGCTGAGTCATATGCAGGGCTGACCCTCAGCTTAAAGGGGTTTACAATATATGACTTCGGGAAGAAATACAAACGCAAAAGATGCAAAAGTAATCCAAGAGGAAGCAAGGATAAAGGAGATATTAGAGAAGTGCTTACCATCTCTGGTAGAGGTAAATAACGAAAACAACGTCGTCTCTGAAACAGGCCAGACGGTGGGCGGTTGGCATCACGATAATGAAAGCAAACACATCATCGATGAATGTGTTGAACGCCTGTAATATGTAATCAAACATAACTTTAGCTATAAACAATGTTTGCAATCAAATGAGAGACAGTGAAGAGAAGGGAAATGACAAGGGAAATGAATGAAGAAAGCAAGCAATAAAAATAAACCTGGGAGGTAGTGGATGAAACGGAAGTAGTAGGATGAAAAAAAAAAAGAGTCGACTTTTCTAAAAAAAATACGAAGACAAAGATTCTATTTCAAGGGTCCAGAGAGCGATGCCGCCAGAGATGAGCCGGAGAAATTGATAGGATAAGCTTCGAGATAACTTTTTCGACGACACTTGTTGCCGCAACTTTTAGCTTTGGATACTTTGAAGAGTTTCAGTCAGGGAAAAAAAAACACCTGAACAGGCTTGGGGCTTGGGGCATCTAGCACCTCATGAAAATGCAGGAAAGGAACGAATCATTAATTCCACGGGAGAATTCTACCGCAACTGCAGAAAAAAATGCCCCAGAGAACATTAAGACTTCACACTTTATTATTCAATCGTTGTCTGCAGGCCACAACAAACAAAACGAAGTACCTTGTACATAAAAGCTCTCCAAGGTAGATGTGCCACGGACTTAAGCTGAAAGAAAGAATTATGACAATCAGTAATATTCCTGATTGATTTCCACTACCAATAATTCAATTCATGGCCGGCTCGTCTTGATCATGTAAGATCCTACGAAAGTCTCGCTGCTCCTATATATTTATGACAAATTTTCAATTTTCACTTAGTCGGAAGTACCTATGGTTTTTACCTCGCTATGCTCTGCGGTTGGTCTCCGAAACTTCCGCTACTTTTCCATGCATTCGGGTGCAAAGACCAACCACACTCGCTCCTACTTTGTCACAGTAAAAAGAATGCCCTCTCTTTTCCTACCTACCTTGTAGTTTACAAACAGCTGAGGCAACATGAACAAGAAACCAAACACATAGACGCCTACAAGGAAGCAAAGACAAACAAGACGCTATCAACAAACATAATAAAAAATACCCTTGTTAGAAGTTGTTGTGAGCTTTTTGGGGAACCCCAGGTCAAATGGAGTTTAACACGTCTCCCAAAACAACTCAGACTACCGAGACGTAGTCACTAAATGAGACTTAACCCTTAAACTGCAAGAAGTGATTGGCGTTTAATTTCTCCCGTGGCAATACTCAAATTAATCGTGTAAGAGTTTTTATCTTGATCTAACACCAAATTCTCCACACTTATTTATAAGGAAGTGTTTAGCAGCTAGAGGGGAGAATCAAATATCATATTCTGGTTATACTAACCATTGACAAGACTGCGCACAATCCAGGAATACCAACTACATGGAGAAATAAGCAAAGTCAAATCATTTAAACCTTTAACTCACGGGAGTAACTAGCATCTAATTTCTCCTCACAATATCACCCCTGAATCAAACATTTGGGTCACAAGAATTAAGGAAACGATCAACGAAAGAAGCCCTCGATTATTACACAAATTCTCACTGTTAGCACCTTACAAAATGTATAGAGAACAGTACGGAGAATATGCATAATGATGTTAGGGTGTGAAGCGTTAATACGTAAAATTAGACAAGTCCAATACACATTTACTGTTTTCAAAGATCGGCGAGGTCTCCACAAAAATTAAACTTGATTCATTCACCCCTGGCATTTAACAATCCACTTCCCTTTTTTCACTCTACCTTTTTTGTGGTTGGTACAGAAGTGAATATACAGCTACAGCTATCACCAGAGGGTATAGTGCATAAGAAATGTAACGCATGGCCTGAAAAACAAAGCAAAACAAAACAAGAGAAAATAATGAAACAATGCAGCCATCTGTGAAACTCCTGGTATCACATACTGTGTCTATAGCGTTCTAGTTGGTCCATCGAATCTCAATTATCAGCTCACATCCCACAGCTTGACCTAAAATATAAACTAACAATATTTAACATTATTTCTGTGGATGTACAAAGGTAAGATCACGCTCTTGGTCCCTATACGGCTTCCGGAGCTTATCCCGCTTTCTATAGCATGACACGAGAAGACGTATTCATTTTACTTCTTCTGAATGGGATTCTAATCACTCTCGTCCTTGGGAAGTCACGCAAAGTCCCCTTGGTGGATTGGGGAGAGCGACGCGTGACATCCAAGAGTACAGCTGCGAAGACAACTAGTGGATCGCTAGGTTATATCAACACTTATTTGGAAATTGGAAAACTACATGTAAGTGCGTGTAGACAATTCTTCATACCTGTACTTCACTGTATGATATTCATCGTTCTGCCTTACCTCGCTGTCAAACTCCTCAGTTTCTTTCTCTTTAGAAGTCCGTTGTCCAAACTTCGAAAGAAAAGAAAAGGTCGCAATGAGAACTAACTCTATCTGCCGAAATTAAGTTTTACTAAGGAAAGAACGTTAACTGGCGTTATTTCTTTAATTTACATTCACGTTGTATAAATCGTATTATCCAATCTCTAAATTATTACAAGTGCTTTGATTGGTCCACTTAGCGGGCCGTGCATTACTGTGTGTGTGCCCGATAAAATTTCAGGTCTTTTTCAGTTGCCAAAATCTCTTGTTATTTTTACCAATTAGTGTCCACTTTAGTGGGCGGATGAAAGGGAAGAGAGTGTGCAAATAGTCAGTCTTCATTTATTCACCTGTACAGAAGGTCTTGCCCCTTTCTCCCACTTGATGTTGACTTTGAATGCTTTGGTAACCTTCCAAACCTTCATGAAAAGAAGATAAGGAAGCGAAACCAGTTAGTATCTAAAAGGAAAAAACTTCGTAGCTTATGCTCATCAGATCTTGACGCTAGAGGGAAACTTAATTTATACCCGCACTCTAGGCTCGATAACCAGCCGCTTTTAACCTTTAAAGGTTGAAAGAAGGTACATTAAGTAATCGAAGACAAAATAACTTGAGAAGATTTGTATTTCAACGGGGATTGAACCGAACATGCCAAGTATAGGTCTAGGGGGCACTGCTACCAACACCGCTATGAAGCCACTTGTTGGAAACAAGGAAAATTTTTTTGAGTTGTTTGTCTTCCCTAAAGGAATGAGATCACAGCTAGTAAACATTAAAATATCGTTATGTCACATTATGTTATGCATATTTTTCTGTCAGCTAACTGCAAGTAGTTGTGTAATTAATCATTTAATCAAAAACGTATAAAAATTTGAATTCAGTCTGATGAAAGAGCTCGGTGAAAGAGAAGTTAGGGATTCAAAATGCAATGAGTTCAAGACACGAGTTTATTAGGCAACTCTTGCAATAAAAATGGCTTAGGTTCCAACTAGCCTGCGGAACGTGAGTGCTCTCTCTGGTGTTTTTAAGTAAACGGAGGCAAACGCTAGGCGCACGCGCTTTACACGCGTGCCTTTTACGCTTGCCTCGGATTTGCCTCATGATAAATCAAATACTTACTTCAATGAGTACACCGATTCCGGCTGGGATAAGAACAAGTAGACTTGTTTGCTCGTCCATCAGGTACAAGAAGATTATAAATGTGCTCACACATCGCCAAATGACTGGAAAGGGATAGAAACCATCAACATCGTAATAACACAGCATTTGCAAAAAATTTTTATCACTTTACTTTATTAAAATACTTTGAGGCTACTGTGAAGACAGTGCTATAAACAACGATCTTGTTTGGCACTAACACCTATCAGGTGCTACTTCCCGAGTATGCATGTGGAAATAAGAAATACAGCCATCAACTATTCATTGGTTGTTTTATCTAGACAAATGTGTCAAATAAGCGACAATGGCACAAATTGCCCAATTTTCTGTCTACAAGTACTATGCTAAGCAAAACTTTCCTCGCCCAAGCTTGTCAAGAATAGATGATTCCTTACCGGTTCTCATTGATAAGCCAACCATGCTGTCCCTGTGTTTCCAGTAATTTATATCATTCTTAAAGGCTAAAAAGTCAAACAGAAGCTACAAAAGAAAATAACAACACTTCACACTGCTATCTCACAAATGAACACGATTATTCATGGTTGTTTTCTGTACACATTCCATAAAATTCCGAGCACAGAACGGTACACTGAATCCTTTCCATTGAAAGATTTGATTCATTATTATAAAATTTTAGTGTAGTCATAACTTTTGTGCAAGGTCTGTTCATGGCTCTCTCTCTCATTGAAATTTTTAGCAATTAAACTGATTGAGACACCACATGGCAATCCTTTAGGTTAAGGTTCTGCAACTGTGCATACAAAAGTAAACATTTGCTCATAACCTTTTAACTCCCGTGAGTGACCAAGACAGAATTTCTCCTTACTATATCTATACAATATCATGCAGACAAGTGATAAGAATAAACTTAGATTACTAATAGATCCAATACCAAATTCTCCAAACTAACATAATGAGAATTATTTGGCAGTCAGTAAGGAGAATTTCTAATGAGATATTGGGAGTTAAAGGGATCATGTAAAACTTACATGGAGAACTGTTATTCCAAAGGTAAGAGCCAGAAGAAAGAGATTTGTGTCTGTGAAAATTCCTCTGACATCATCCAAATCCTTGTCAGTAAATCCTTAAATTAACCAGAAGCGTAAGGTTTTTTTGCACCAACTGAACAATGCTGTCAGTACTTAAAATAATTATATACAATTTTATTACAAACATCTTCCCTCTTCAACAAGAAGTGTTGTCTGCAGCAATCTGTCTTGTCTGACAAAATCTTTTTTCTCATAACAAGTCCATCAGAGTATTTCTCACAAGAGTTGTATTTCCATTAAAAATTTGTAAGTCACTGATATATCTGTAGCAGCCAAACGAAAGTTTTGGAGAATGATCATCCATATTGCACCTGTAATTTTATTCATACCTAAATCCTTCATTGATTTTAATGAATGGTGAACTGATGACCATATACGAAGCTTGCCAAGAGAAATAGGTGCATAGTTTATCTTTAACTGCATCTCACTGCTGCTTTTGTTCACAGGCTGTGGGGAAATCAACAAAAATACAAGTCATGCAGCTCAACTTCACAATCTGGGGAAAAGAAATTTCATGTTTAAGCCTATATTCCATTACATTAGTTTGTGTATTCTCTACAATTACTCTTCTTTATACATTTCCTATGGTACTGTCTAGAAGAATTTGTCCAATAATTAAGAGCTTCCTAATGTGGTTACCATCTCCTACATTCTCATAACTTAAGTGTTTGCTAAGGCAATAATAATGTATGGAGAAATTATATGCTAATCACTCTTGGGGGTTAAAGGGTTAAGGTTGTAAATGAGGTGGAAGATTTACTCTGACTTGCTTGGGACACATGCACAATAACCAGGATTTATCCTGATTTCTGTACCATGCATGAAGCAAATTGGATCAATGCTACTCCTTTTTTGGTCTATTTCCAGTCATCCCCAGTGTTCTCTAGATAATTTTTAATAGTCAGCCATATTGGAACAGTGGCCAGTGGTAAACAAGTGAGCACCCAAATGACATAAGCATTTATTCTGACTATCAACGTACCTTAAGATATCTATAAATCACACCAAGCTGGTCTATGTATAGCACAGGAAGGTATTCTTTGTTAGGAGCTAATCTATCAGCAAGAACAACAAAAATGAACATGAGCATTAAGGGGTAGTTTAAGAAGATTTTAATCGACATCACTGATCTGCCATATAGTATACCTGTTTGACCAATTTTTTTTTTCTTTTACCAAATGTCTTTTCTTCTACTAAATGTCACAGTCTATCAGAAGGACTCCATTTATAACTAAACATAGAGGTACACTTCTGATATACACATTCAAGAATTTTCTTATCTACATTGGAGGAATGTCCATCATACCTGATGAAAGGGTAGATCTCACTGGGAATGGCTTGTCTCTCAAATTCAACTTTTTCATTCAGAACATGAAAATTCAGGATGGGCTTCCAGTGGGTTACTGGAATCTCATTCGAAGTAACACTAGACTTCTGCATAATAACAAAAGTGCTATTGAATTCATCGCATAAAAACAAAATGAGTATGGTCACTTATATAGTTAACATCAAGAAGAAGATACAAAACAAACAAAATAACATAATAAATTCTTATATTTTTCAAATGAATATTTTTTACATGCCAAACAAATTCATTTATCAGACAGAAAGAAGTTTGTTGTGCTTAGAATGTGATAACCAAAGAGAGATCAGATCTGTACAAACTTTAAGATAAAAAATAAATGTGTATAGGCTTTTCACAAAATGGAACACAACAAGAAGACAAACAACCAAACTAATCAGCCAGGTCCAAGAAAACAGTTGATAATTACAGATTGATATATCCATCAATATATTTGAGTCTAACATTACCAGAAGTGGAGTAACTAATTTAATCACTGAGTTAACAACTGGTGGCAAATAACAAAGTAACTTGATTCACCTTTGGTTTTTCCGTTGAGAGAAGGTTAATAGATTCATCTTTAGGCAGCGAATACATTGTCAGAGGAGCTGAGGCATGTGATACATATTCACTCTCAAAAGGGGAAACTCCAGCTTGATAAACATATATGTGAGCATAAAGTGATCCATTGTTTCTTGTTTCATTTGGTATATTTGCATTTATTGATCTGCAAGTACAAGAATTCTAAATTGAATTTACAATGTATGAAGATAATGACCAGACATAAGCAACAAAGTCTTTTGTCCACAATAGGGAATTCTTCAAAATTTTAATTTTAAGTGATAGGCTAACCATTTCAACAACCTGGGCATAACTGATCAAAAAGGGTCAAGTGATGTTGAATTATTACAGTAAGTGAAAACTTGTTGGTCAGTGTAATTGTCATGTCATGTCAAGTCATTATGCAGTGCAACTCCTTAGATTTCAAATCCCATGGAGAACAATTGTTTGGATCCGTGCTCAGAGATCACAAGAATCCATCAGTAACTATTTTTTGCTTCCATGAAAATTAATAAGAAACTACTTTTTATATATATTTTGCTTTCAAAAAACAGGATGTTCTATTGTTGTCAATGTGAAATGGAACTTGTATATTGTATACTTTTATAACAAAAATAGTCATTTGAAGTATCAATGCACTGAAAGCCATAGAGATTACTGAACACATGGGCCATCCCCTCTGGTAAAATGCAATCCACCATGGGAACAATACAAGATGACAGAAAAGGGAAGATAAACAACTGATCTTGCATACAAGTAAAAAATTAATGTAAAACAAAGGAATTGCTCTACTGCTAAAAATATTAGGAGAGAAAAAAATTTTACATTTGAATTTTAATCCATAAGGCTGAATATGTCAGTGGAAAACTACTTTTCCATACTTACTATTTTGAGAACATGGTAACGACACATCATCAGAATTAATTGTTACCGTGAAATTCTGGGGTTTGCAGTGATTAAAGTTTGATCTGTCCTGAATGGCAACTATTTAACTTACTCTGTGAACTGATTTGACACACTAAAACTATCACTTTTCCAAAGTAAATTGGAATTTCTCTTGTTGATGTTCTGTATTTTTTCTTCAAGTGATGTATAAATTGATATCTGCAAGTATAAACATCAAAAGTTAACATAAATTCAACAAGTTGAAAGAGGCCTGAAATGTAAATGATTACAAGGAATGATTTTCTCACCAATTTATAAATTTCCTCTAATACCGGGCAAAATAATTTTTTTCTGAACATTGCCAGAGTTTTTACAGTGACCTTTATAATTCTAGTCGTTTTAAATTTTTTGTTATGAAACAGAGTACAATTAAATTTTAAAACCCCAACTGGCTTCTTTTCAAATTTCTTTATCCTGAACATTCATACTGAGAAATATTTTCAAAATATACAGATTTACTTCTAAAAGCAGAAAATTCTCCAACTGCTGTGTACTCCTGACCTGCAAGATAAACGTCTTCTACCTCCCTACTCCCTCCTCCCCCCCTTTCTTTGGGATCGTTTAATGAAAAAAGCTTTTTGATATCGAAGAGAAAGTGAAAGGGGCTTTATCCCACAAAAATTAAAGTAATAAGAAATAAAACTTCAAATATCAATTTTTGGACTAATTACACCGTGGAACAAAATGTTCTCCCTACAAAATGCCACTGGTAGCTAACTTACCTCTAACTTTTTGTCTATAATACCATGAGGTTTAAGGCATTGCCTTGTGCCTCCCTGGCACGTCGGCACGTGAAAAAGGTTATAAATAACATAAACACTGTTAACTATATATAATCCGAAAAGAATTAGAACTACTGTGGTGACAAAACTCATTGCGAATGTAAAAACAACGCCAGTTCATCAATCACAAGGCCATCCAAAGTCCACCATTTCTCCGGGTCATTGAAAAATACGTCATGTACAGCGGAACAAAGTGTTTACACACTTCATGTAAGTAGACTTTAAATGTCGTTGTCCTTGAGTGGATTGAGCTCCTTCTTCGTTAGAAGTTGCTTCCAAGTCCAGACTTGATTTAAATGATGAATGCAACTTCTGTAAAATTTTCCGTGTTTTTTTTAAATTATTTTATCTAATCATAACTGCATTGATGACGTCTACCTGACAATAGTTTGTCAAACATCTGGCAGTGAGCCAAAAAAACGCCACAAACGATACATATGTCCTTCTTACCTTTGTAAATCACAAATGGTAAAGTAACCCTTAAATAATAATTTCCAGGGGAACTTTTCAAAATACGCACAGGAAAGGTATGACGGGGTGACCTTCAAGAAGTTGTAATCCCAGATTTCCTTGCGGTCCTAGATGACGCAACGAGTCGCGCGAAGCGAAAAAAAACAACATGGCGGCTGGCAGTAGTCCTTCTTCTTCGTCTTCAAATTCAGACACAAGTCAACAAGTTGACCGAATAGCTCTCTTATATCCTAAAGTTAATGAATCAGAGACCCCTCTACCTCGATCATGGTCTCCTAAAGACAAATTCACTTTTATAGGGCTTTCACAGAATAATCTTAGGGTGCATTACAAAGGTTAGTGAGATTTTATGTATTTTTGTTTTCTTTCTTTCACGGGCTCTGAATTCCATCATTTTGGAAGCTAATTCGAAAGGAGGTACTGTTTTGGTTTTATCATTGTGTGTACTGTCTTTTTCTGACCTAATAAAACGGTTCAGAGACGAAATGCCGCATCGATTACCTTTGAAACGACAGAAGTGGTTGTCTTGTGCTATTTGAAATTCATCTTTATTGTTTGCGCTTTATCATCAAAATTGAAATTTCCCCTGTCGGCGGTTTGAGTTTTTAAATGCAAATTATTTTCGATGGATTACGCTCAGCAGTAGAAACATTTGCTGCTGTAAATTTCAAATTGAAATTTTGTTATCAATGAATAAAATTTGAAGACGGATGCTTATAAGCGCAGATTATTTTTACTTGTAAGCTTAAACTTATATTGTTTACTCAATGATGGAAATGACTTTGCTTGGACTGATCGAACGATAACACTTACTATTGATGTGCATGTCTTTTCAGGTGTTGGAAAGACACACAAAGACGCGGCCTCGGTTAGGGCTACGCATTCGATTCCAGCGGCCTGCGGTATTTATTATTTTGAAGTCAGAATTGTTAGCAAAGGACGCGATGGGTAAGGAATAATCCCGCCTAACTAAATCATCATTGTAATAACATAGCATTTGTATCAGTTGTTTTCAAGTTATTTTTCTGGATAATGTTTTTTTGTGTCACAATAGAACATATGCACAAGGTTTAATTGCATTTCAGGAAGATACAAGGCGAATGCACGATAGTAAATGAAGGTTTGGTGGTTTTTTCAAGAAGTTTCATTTTTATTTCGGCAGTAGCGTGAATTTTTAGTAATTTTAAAGGTTTTTGTCCCACTAAAAATAAAAAGTAAAAGTTCCACAGTAGTTCTTAACAAGATTATAGTCCAATTCTACATTTGCATATCCAGACTGAACACACTGTTTTCACTGGCTCAGAAAGGCAGTGTTTAGAATGTGGTGAGAGATTGTAACTGTTGTGTTTAAAATTATTTAAGGGCAAATTGATTCCAAAGTGGTATGATTCTGTACTTTCTATTTTTAAGGCTAGTATGATAATATACCTGGAATTTAAGGGAAAAAATAATGCAGCCCTATTTTAAATAATTTCAAAGTACAGAATACATGTAGGCATATTTGATCAACACCTGTAAAGTGAAACCACATGTGTATTTTTGGTACATATGTATTTTGAAATCCCACCAGTTTGATTGAAAGCTAATATGATAGAGATTGTTTTTTTTCTCTCGATTCATTGCACACCCACTGTAATAAGAGAATTAATTATTTTCTTTGGTTGTAAGTGACATTTTCCAAAATTACCTAAAATCTTCCATTATCTGAAATCTTAGGGGTAGAATTTCAACAGCACCAATGAGTAATTCTATGAACCTCTACATATATACATATATATATATATATATATATATAATGTCTCTGGAGTTATGAATATCCCAGTACACCTTTTTGTTGTAAGTTAAGAAACGGGGTTAATTTGTTTGAAACACTCTTTCTGGAATCTCATACATTCATACATACATTCACTTTAGAGGGGTTTTTTAGCATCAAAATCAAAATCCAGAAAACAAATCTCCCAATTTTTTTTCCAATTTTTGCCTTTCTTTTCTTTTAAATTCATGAAAAGGAAAATGCATAAAACCTGATACAAAAGAGGTGAGTGTATAACAGAGAACATTTGATTATTGGTGTTGATTTGATTTTTTGCTTACAGCTATATGGGTATTGGATTATCTGCACAAGGAGTCAACATGAATAGATTACCAGGTTAGTAATAAAAACTTTGATAGAGAAGGAGTATTTTTTCATCATGGTGCTTTTTTTTTTTTTTTTTTTTTTTTTTTCCAAAGACATGAAGTAGTCCCATAGTGTTTTTGAAAGTGGAGGAAATTAACCTGATTCTTTGTTCCCTGGCTGATAGGTTGGGAAAAGAATTCATATGGTTACCACGGAGATGATGGGCACTCCTTCTGCTCATCCGGAACAGGAAAACCTTATGGTCCAACCTTCACAACAGGAGATGTCATTGGCTGTGGCATTAATCTGATTGATAACACATGTTTTTACACAAAAAATGGAGTTAATCTTGGTAATGTAAACTCAGCTGTTGCAGTTACGTGTATAAGTGTGTCCTATAAGTGTGTCAAACATTAGTTGTTTGGGTTTGTTTGGTTGTTTCAATCAGGTACATATTTTACAATCAAGGGGGTCATGCTATGTCTTTAACCCTTTAACTCCCAAGATCTCATTTGTAATTCTCCTTACAGTCTCCCATATAGTTCTTCTGATGTTAGTTTGGAGAATTTGTCCTAATTAAGATTTTTTCTATTCTCATCTCTTGTCTTCTTGATATTGTATTGATAGTGTAAGGAGAAATTCTGTCTTGGTCACTCGTGGGAGTTAAAGGTGAAGGGTAATTATGTGAGAATAGGATCTTCAACTGTCCTGGTGCAACAAAAAAATTCCTAAAAAACTCAAGGACTTAGTATGAATTAAATAATTATTTCCTCGGGTCTAATTTGCTATAATCATTATTTTGTTCACTCACCCACTCACTTACTATTTTTTTTTCACTGATTTACAGGAATTGCTTTCTCAGACCTACCTGTAAGTTTTTTAAGTGTTATTTTTTATTAATTACATTCTTGTTTTTTCATGTTCTACTAGTGGAATTCTTGGTTATCATAGGTTACATATACATGTACATATATCCAGATTAATTAGAATTTATTGTTTAAATATTACAGATTGTATTTCTCTCTCAAGTCATTTCCTTTTAACTGTTTGTATTTCTAGGCAAACTTATACCCAACAGTTGGTCTTCAAACACCAGGAGAGGTAGTAGATGCAAATTTTGGGCAGCAGCCTTTTGTCTATGACATAGAAGAAGTCATGAAGGTATATGCTTGACTTACAGTATAATGTAATTTTTATTAAATTTACAAACACTCAACTTCATTCATAAGGTGTATGATCTATGGGAAAATTTGACAATTTGTAACTTCCATTCTTGTTTCAGTAAGTTTCAAGTCCATTTTTCCAATTTAAGCTTGCTCTGAAACTTTTTGAAATTGTACTTATTACCATCTAACCTGGCATTCGTTTTTATCTTTCTTCCTTTTACATGTTTATAGGAAGTTCATGCTCGGACAAGGCATACAATACAGACATTCCCTTTCACAGACAAAGAGGGCCTATGGCAGACAACACTGCAAAAGTAATCAGTTTTAATTAGTGCATGAATTGTACAGTATACCCCCTAACTCAATCTTGTTTTCATTGTACATATAATAATAAGAGCAGTATAAGAAACCTACAAACTCAGTGGAGGTAACTGCTGCATTTCCAGTTTCTTGCTGAAGCAACCACTTTTACCACATGCTTACCTGCTGCCTCTTTTAGCAGAGTCCATGCATATTAAAATAACATTTGCGTAATCAAACAACTGTCATAATACCAGTGTGGTGCTCTACTAAATGAGCCAAGAAACCATAGAATGGCAGCCAGGGCATGCATTATTCTTGCTCATTCAGTCACTTTCCTACTGCTTCTTATGTCCTATGGCATTTAGGGTGGCATAGACTTCTCTCTTTTGACTCTGTTCAATCATGTCACATCCACTTTAGAGTTTGTCACTTCTCCTGTTGGGAGTGAGCTTCTTTTCATGTTTGCATAATATACACAGAACAAACCCAGTATGTGATTGTTTTTTGTATTCTCATATCATTGTTAGGATTGTATCAACGTACTTGGTTCATCATGGCTACTGTGCTACTGCTGAGGCTTTTGCTAAGAGTACTGGACAGTCATTTACAGAGGAACTGGCTTCAATCAAGAACAGACAAAGTGAGCCAACAGTTATGCAAGACAGACCTTTAAAATATGCTTGTTGAATCGTTGCAACAAGCAAGTTTGAACTGATCAGTATTAGTAAACAACAAGATAAAACACAGATTGATGCTGGGCCAAATCAAGATTATGGGTTTCATAGCATCTTTTGAATCCTTGTTTGGTTCGCAAACTTCCTAGATTTTGTTGCAAGTCTGAATGTTATGATCATTATCAATGGGGCTTTTTATTCTAGTACATTCAATGGAATAACTTTGTCTCTGCAGGAATACAAAAGTTAGTTCTGGCTGGCAGAATTGGGGAAGCTATCGAAACAACACAAACATTATACCCAGGACTCCTAGAAAGAAATCCAAACTTGCTTTTCCTTTTAAAATGCCGGCAATTTGTGGAAATGGTTAGTGGATGTGACAGTGATGTACGACCTGCAGCCCATAGTCCTAGATCTAGTCCTAATGTCAGCCCTTCACACTCATATAGTGCAGCATCAATTGGAAGTGTTGTAAGTAGTTCTCCTTCAGCCACCAACGGCTTTGTTGCAAATGGCACATGTATAGACAATGGATTTGAAGCTGATAATGTACAAATGGAAGTTGAGGAATTTGAAGAAACATCAAGCAATGGTGTAGTGAATGGAACAGAAAAAATGGATGAGAGTGATCATAGTCCTAGCAGAGGTAAATGAGTAGTGTGAATATTCAGGTTTATGCTATATTTTTGACCCTCCACATCAAAACATTCTTTAGCAAGATCTGTTTATCTGCTTGGAATACTGTACTGTACAGTAACATCCATGAAAGTGACTCGAGCATATTTCCAAACTAGTTTGGCTTCTCTTTATACAGGATTATTAACATCGTCATGAGTTCAATCAGCAGTGACCTTGACTTGCAAAAAAATTAGGATAGTTCAAATAGAAGTTGCATCAATAGAAATACTTTGTTATCATCTATTTGAGCAGTCAGTGCTTTTTGTTTCTTCAGATTCCACTGGCAGACAAAATTTTTGTCAAAATAGAACTGTGCTTGAAAAGATTTTAGCTTTTGGAAGAGATTTACAAACTATGAGTGTACAATTGAGGAGAGAACATGGAAAAAATGAGACAAATAAGAAGACTCTTCAGGCAAGTCAATTCTGTAACTTTGTGTTTCCAATTTTATCCCTTTATATATTTAAATGTCCAGTTCAACAACATTGTTTTTAGCATGACAATTGAAAACTGTTTATATTTTTCAGGAAGCATTTAGTCTTTTGGCTTACACAGATCCTTGGAGCAGTCCCGTGGGGTATATTTTAGATCCTGTACAGAGGGAATCAATATGTTCATCTTTAAATAGTGCTATCTTAGGTAATTTTGGATAATGTTTTTACACATTCATATTATTAAAAGCTGCATGTACATGACAATGTTTTAATGACAGTCCAATTATGGATGTTTTGACAGCCTGAGAAGAGCTTGACCTTCCACAACATACGTAGATAGAGGTACTCAGGTTAAGAGGTGATAAAAATTGAACTGCTGAAATAGCTTCTCATGTCTAATGGTGACTTCTGCTCAGGTTGTGGAAATCTCAATTGCCATTGTCAACAGCTGTGTGATAATATCTTTTAACTTAACATAACTTTATGCTTAGCATGAATCCTTTTCTTTTCGGTGTTGATAAACACATTAGCAAATATTTTTAACTATTCATAAACCTGTATATTCATTGACATTGAGCTAGGGATAAAGAAATAATCCTACCTGAAGAAAGATTTCATTCATCTGTCACAAGATTTTAACCCATAAAAATTAGTTCACTTTGTAGATTCAAACCTTACCCTCAGATTTTTCTATCTGGTGCTGTATCCCTGAGCAACAAAAATTGTTGATTATCTGGGCCATATACATCTGTACATGTACCAAGTTCATAAGTTATGTGACAGAATTCCTACCTTACTCTTTCAGTTGCTTTCTTAGGGCATGTTATGTCCTATGGCATCTATGGTAGCATAGACTTCTTTCTTGTGACTCTGTTCAATCATGTCACATCCACTTCAGAGTTTGTAACTTCTCCTGAGCTTTTTTTCATGTTTGCACAATATGCACAGAAAAAACCCAGTATATGATTGTTTTTTGTATTCTCAAATCATTGTTAGGATTGTATCAATATACTTGGTCCATCTTTAGGATCAATGTTCTTTAGTCTTACATATTAACCCGGTATCTGGCCTAGCTCACCATCAAGTTTCCTTTAGCTCCATGGTAGAACAACAGAGCACCAAATCCAAAGGGGCAGGGTCTGACACCTTGTTGTGGACTTGGATTTTTTCCCTTTCTCCTAACCTCTTGTTATGAATGTTTTAAAACATTTTAATTCTATATTCAACCAAGCTTAAATTTACTGTCTTTCTAAATCCATTGATCTTGTTTGCTTTCAGATTCTCATCACTTGCCCACAAAACCCCCTTTGGACTTAATTCTGGGACAGGCTCAAGAATGTTTGAAACTCATGTCAAAGATCGGACTAGGAGCATGTGCATTTGCTAGTGTTGAAGAGTACATGTAACATACAAATGTGGGGCAAATGTTTGGTTAATCTGTGGATGAAAGTACAATGTTTTATAAAAGCTTAAAATGACTCAACATAAAAAGTCATTGTACGCAGTGTAAACATATCAACAAATGCATTACTTACCGGTACTTAAGTTTTTATCAAAATGGTGGTTATGAATTTACATGTAGGCAGCATTTTCTCTGAATCTTATAGTCTTTTATGAGTAGAACCAAAAAATTACATTGCGTGGTATCAATAATCTTTTCACACCCACATCCAAAGACACTTGTATTGTCTAAATTAGATATTACAATTTTTACAGAAAGACTCATAGTAGGCAACCAAGACAGTTTTCATTTCCAAGACTGTTAACAGAAATCCTCAGAATTGCTTTGAGATTGTCTCCAGAAGTTCACACCACTAACTCAACCAATCATTCACTGATAGAGTAAATTGTGACTTATGTACTCTCCTTTTGATATTTTCCTCTGCCTTTCTTACCAGAAATGGTATCTTAAACTGCTAGACTGTTATTGCACTGCTATACTGTTAACCTACATGTACATCCAATTCCTTATTTTTGGGTTATTAAGGGGTAAAAGAACCTGAAACATTGTTTGAATTTGTAATTTGCTATAGGGGTTTATTTTATTTTTTGAAATATTGTAAAAATTCTGTAATAACTTGACAGATACACAGTCCTGTATATTAGTCTTGTTTTTTTGGGGGTTAGTTTTGCATTGCACATCTTGCAAATTGTCATTATTTTTGTAAAGTTTATCATGAAAATTATTTGGAGTTAATTAGAGGGTTTGTGCAGGACAGCAATAGGGTCATGCACGGTTGATGTCAAAGGGTACAAGTTCTACAATAGGAAAACCATGAACATCTGCTTTCTGATATTCTTTTTCCCTCTAAATGACTGATTTAGCATTAAATTGCTATTAGTTTGTATTACAGGAGTGTAGAGTGACATATTGTTCTCTAGTTCTGCATTGTTTTAGAGTATAAATCTACTTCTCTAATCATGGCACACCCTCAAGATGGTTGCCTAAACAGCTCAACACAGTTCTTTACTGGCTAATAGCCGGATTTGTCACTCAAACCTTCATTGCATTTGTAATGCAGACTAAATCCAGATGCATATTAATCAGAGGTATTCTCTACTATTAAATATCTTTCCCTTTTGTCTTTTTGTTGGTGAGTTTTTACAGAAAAATCTGTTTGACAATCAAGAAAAGCAATTTTGAACTATATACTGTATATTACTTTTGATTAGTGTAGGGGCTAGGTTCTGTTTTCATAAGTGTGTAAATAAACTATATAGATTTTACATTTTTGTCTCACATTATTCTTGTTGCACTCAGCACAGTTTGCCTCTGACAGATAATCTTCATAAATGAATAAAAGGGGGTAAGTTTCTGAAGAAACTGTGGTGCTGCGTCGGTGAGAGAGTATGGCAGGTAATTTAGTGTTTACAACTGAGTTGAAAACATATATTGGCTACCGTAAAGAGTGCAAAAGCTGACATTTCAAGTGGTAGCCCTTCGTCAATCGCTCTGACAAAGGGCTAACACTCGAAATGTCAGCTTTTTTACTCTTTACGGTGGCCAGTTTACATTTTCAACTTGTTGTTAACACTAAATTATCAGATAACCTTCCTAATTTGCTCTTGGTGTTCACCTGGTCAAAATGGTCAACAATACTGTATTTCAGAGGTTGTGCTCCTTGCCATAGCAAACTAGAGCATACTGGAAGGAGTAGCTTAAGGTGTATTTTTGTTGAAAGACTTAAAATGTAACCATAGTATACTGAAGACAAGGAAGCTCTATAGCACATTCATATCAAACATTTGTCGAGTCTGCAAGCAAGCTCTCATTCACACTGTGGCTTGACCAGCAAACCCCCAAGATTCAAGTTTGCAAGCAAAGCAAGGGTGCAAAGAGCCACAACCCTCAGACATTTACCTCGCTTTGCTGGCTGGCTTGAAATGTGTGAGCTGCTCTGCTGCTAATGTGAGACTTTTGGGTCCAAAGATGCCACGTTGAAACAGTAACTGGAAAAATTCATGGCCTTGAGAAATACAAGATCCTAAAGACCTTACCAATTTGTAGAACATATGCTCATCAAAATAAAGGAAGAGAAGTTTTCATTTTTAGTCGATATCTTTTCAAGATTTGGAGTAAAATGTTAAAATGAATCGGGCCTGAAAAAGGATCATGCAGAACCCCATGACTTTGCAGCCACCCCAATGAGACCTTTAATCCACTTCATAGAAATGTGTTTGAAAGCATTACTTATCTTTCCAGAACAATGGTTTGACTTTCAGAGGAACTAAGGGTGGTTGCACATGGTTAGTCAACAGATGATCTCCCAGGGGCATATTTCAGGTGGTAAGCCCCAGGTTGTAGATTCTCTTTAAGCAGTTTACATCCTTGTCTATATATTTTGTTGCATTTTAATTTATTTCATCCCTGCTGTCATAAAGAGGGAAATGTTGCCCTCAGTCTTCCAGATGCATTTCATTACATCAAATTCACAAACAAATGGCATTTATTTTCATTTTGAATCTATGCTGTACTAGTATTTACAATATTTGACAAGCTGGAAAAAGAAAGTTTTCTACAAGTTATGGACCAAACCAAGAGTACAGAAATCTGAACAACCTACTTGCACAACAAATTTTATGATTTAAAGCAATAACTTATGAAAGCAAAGAGCAACAGAACTTTCATTGATATAAGTCTTGAGCTTTTACTCTAAAGGGAGGGTTTTTTGAAATGATAATATTCCAACTTTAACAAGTCAACATGCTTTTCATACATGTAAATTTCACTTCAAATTAATCACTTCCTAGTCTAACTAATAGAATTAATTGCCACAAGTTTACTCAGTGATGGCATACTTGCTCTCAAATTCCCTCATTTTATCTTTGAATACTAAAAGTGAAAAAAGAAAGAAAATGTTGGCAAAAAATGACTCAAACACAGGCATTGGGCTTCAGAGTGATGGATATTTCTGCACAGGCCTCATACCAAGACAAGAGCATAGTCCTAGAGTCAATGTATGGTTTGAACTATGGGAAAATCTTACTGAGAAATGTAATGCAATAAAAGGAAAGAGAAGAAGAGTCAGTTTGAAGCCTGGAGTTCAAACTTTCTAATAACAAAGAGAATGTAAAGCTTCTTCTACAGTCTGGACTTAATTGATTTTAAATTACAAATTTACATAACATTACCAGCTTTATTATTCCATTTCTGAGCTGCATCAACATTAAGTGGGTTGTCATTGTTTGGTGCTGAAAAGAAACAAATTACTTTTCATGTGGTTACTCGTTACATTTCTAAGCTCTATCTCTATCACTGATTGGTCAAATTCTTTAATTGTCATAAAACACCTTGCTTTCATTTCAAAATCCCTTGCTTTGAAAGGCAGGTTAAATTTTCATTTCTCGGTTTCATAGTCACTCACAACTGAATTAAATTATTTGTTACCTCCCAATAACGCTTGTATGGAATGCAATATGCTTCTGACGCCATATGCAGAAGTCCATTTGTCCTGCAAAATAATGCACGATCAAGTAACGTTAATTTGTTACTCTGCATTCCATTTCACAGTGTGCCTGGCAACACACTTTCCAGAAGCCCTTTTACCCAATAATGACCAGTTAAACAATATTTAGCCTACTGTACCTTTAGAATGTCTAAGCAAATGTTTCCTTTGTCGTCCACATTAGGGTGATAACATGGCGTCTTGAATTTGACTACAGGAGGTTTGTGAGGATATGTGCTTGGAAATTCTAGGGTTAATTGGTACTTTTTCCCATCATAGACCTACAATGAAATGTCAAGTACAGAGCTTGCGTCAACCGTTCAACGAAAACACTAAAAAATTTCTCATCGGAGAGAAGGAAAAATCCGATAAGCAAGGGTAACTTTCAGACTCTGATGTTCTCTCCTGCCTACATCCTAAGCCCTGGCGACTTATATATAACGCTTCTTTAATATTGACAATGCTTTTTGAGGTTTATTTGATTTTTGTAAAAGCAATTTTTTGCTTTCAACAAGAAACACACAGAAACTCTGATCGGGGTGGAACTAGAAGCTGAGCCTGGCACAAAGAAAAAAAGATACTTTACCGTATCCTTTCCTCCATAAATTGTTCCAATCCACTCTAAGATGCCATCGCCAGATGGAAATGCCGAGATAAGACTGTCTTGATGCTATATAACAGAAACATTAAAAAATTATTTACTTGAGCCACTAAGAATAGGACAAGATAATGAGCAAACTGGGAGAAAATAATTACGAATTCATCAATTTCCGAGCCTTACCTCAGAAAGTTCCCTAAGATCCATTAAGAGCCTGTTTATCAAATTTAACGACCGATTAGTGCAAAGAAAACACCTGGAATGACATGTCAATAAAAATATTCCTCAAATGAGATCCCAACACTCTTTACCTGGCCCAAACTTTTCCCTCGCAAGCCATTATTTTCTGGAAAACAGTACAACTTGATCGAAGCTTCGATACCTCTTCCTCTTCAGAATAGAACGGCTAAACGAGAGGTAAGTTTTTTAAACTTGAATTCTCTTCGCATGGACCAATCAGATCGTCTATTCTAATAAAATTGACCAATCACAGCGCTTACTTTCTTTCGGTTCCAGTCTACCTACTTGGAATCCCATAGATCTCTTCGGTCACGAAAAGCGCCATATTGGATTTCACGTCTATCACTTGATCGCCGTGGCTGATGAAAACAGATAATTTCACGTTGACATGCCTTACGCAAACCAACCCAGTGTAAAAATTCTGGAGCTTACAGAAGAAAACGTGAAGTTTGTGATCGAAAATACAGACTTAAGGTATGAATAAGAACATTTTGATCGACTTCTTTATCATCGTACTCATGTTAAAGACGTTCCAAAGGTAAACGGCAGTCTCTCACCCAGCTCCCTAAGTTTTTGAGCTAATTCTCCTCACTGATCAGTAGTCATCTTTGGTAAAATTTCCGCACAGCCCCATCCTACGTCATGCATTCAGTTCTTGGATAGAGAAACAATACATTGCCATTGGGAAAACAGATTTGTTTTACAATAGTATGGGGCTGTGCGGAAATTTTACCGGGTAAACAAGAATTAAAAATGGCTTTCTCAAGTATGTGCTTCAGATGACAAAATTTTCGTATTCACAGATAAATCACCACTCAAAAGACTGTGGTATATGTAATACAGAAATCAGCACAAAATAAATGGAGTTTGTTATTGTGATTATAAACACCTCAAGCTGGAAAACAAACTTTTGAGCTCAAGATTGCAAAAATTTATGAAACAGGCAGAAATTGGAAGTAAATGTATCACCAAAAGGACTGTTTATGGTGATTTTGTGATTTAGGATCAGAACTCGGTTACATTTTGTTGAAAACTCAAAAGTTCTTTTTGTTTTGCATTAATTACATGCTCTGGTTATATGACCAGGAGCTGGTCAAAATTTTCAAACAACTCAATTACCAGCAGTTGGATACTTTTCTGAAAATTTGACAAATTGAGAGATCTTATACAATCCACACTATCATATGTTGTTGAGGAATTGCTAAGTGATCTTGAGAGGTTTTATGAATCTCATACTTTTCACAGAGTACAGAGCCTTGGATGTTGACACTTCTGAAATTGAGGTCCACTGCTGGTCATGATTTTTAAATAAGTAACTGACTGGTGGTCACAATTTTGAAAGAACCTATACAATCCAAAAACTCTCTGTCAATGAGGAACTACTTAGCAATCTTGAGGAAATTTAGAAAACTGTCTAAACATGTCTAAAGCTCAGTTTACGCTGACTCAGAATACGTAGAAATTGCATTACTTCGACTGGCAGTCACTGTTCTCAAATAACTAAATGACCTACACAATCCAAAATACTCTCTGTCAAAGGGGAACTGGGAAGTGATTTTGAGGAGATTCACATATTTTAAGTCTGATGCTCGGTTTATGCTGAGTTAGAATACTTAGAAATTGCATGACATCGACTGCCGGTCACAGTTCTCAAATAACTAAATAACAGGAAGTCGTTAGTTTTTCCAAAACCAAGAGAGCCTATACAATCCAAACTACTCTATGTTGACCAGGAACTACTAAGAAATCCTTAGAAGATTTATAAATCTCATGTCTGGGAGCCTTACATATTATTGTATATTAAGACATATAAATCTGAATTTGTGGAATTATTGTGGCAGTTATAGATGCAGCAATAGTCTGCCATTCCTTAAGTTTCGCATTTAAATTTGTTATGGCTACAAATGTTGTGTACCCATTTCAGACCATCTATGGTCTATGATATATGAGTCTAGAAAGGTCTATTATACACAATGTAACTACAGGAAGTCCCTGGAGCAGCTGAAGGGTGCATTCCAGTTATTTTATTCATTTACTTCTTTTTTCCTCCATTGTCTCTTTTTCAGCATGGCTAATGGCCTACGAAGGATATTTATTGCTGAAACTCCAACTATAGGTTACTCTTTAACTTTCTTGTTAATTATTAGTTATTTTTGCCTAGTTTCAGGGTTCTCGTCTCCACTAGCTTAAAAAGTCCAACTTGAAAATGAAAGGAAACTTGATTTTTCTGAACATTTAACTCTCTTCACAGTAAAATGCTTCTATATTGTAGAACATGTACATACAAGACATAACCATAAACATTACTATTACCACTAACCACACCCACAAGAGATTGAAAGAGAGGCTTGATACATATATGTAATCAGCACTCTGTAAATGTATATCAAGCCCTTGATTTATTCATTCTGTCAATGGTTTTCAGTGCAGTTATTAGCCTAGCTGATCTTTTGTTTGCTTGCAAGAGAAACTCCATATATCAAACACTCTCAACTGGGCTATTTAAAACCGTGTTTTATACAAAGTTGACCTTCTAATCATCTCTTTTCAGCCATAGACTGGGTACAAATTGACAACAACACTTCCGTATTACACGATGAGTTTATTGCCCACAGATTAGGTAAGTGTGTAAATACAGTGTGTATGTGCACATTTTTGCTGTCAGTTTTGTGCCTTTATCTTTTATTGCATTTTAAATTATCAAGTATTGAACACTAAGCCCTGGTTTTTCAAAGGTCAGATATTGCTATCCACTGAATAACTCTCTATCTGGTGGATAAGGCTACACATTTTGCTATCACTTTTCTGTCTGATATGTAGTGATTTATCCATTGGATAGTGTTATCCACCCTTTATATAACTAGGCCCAGGATTTTACAAGGTGCAAATACAAAATATACTTCCTGGATAAGATACCCTACTGCAAGAACATGCAGACAAACAGTCAGGGACAAGAAAGTGCAACCGCTTTCAATTAGCCCATTCTTCTGTATCTAATACTCAACGTGTGGTTTTGGTGACCCTAAGACCGTTTTGTCTTAGGGATAAGTCATGATAAACTATCCCATCCAGTTTTGCTGATGAACTGTTCAAGGGAATGACTTTCTCTGGATTACTTTGAGGAACTTGTGTGATTCCCATTAATGTTTGCACAGTTTTTTACATGAGGTAACTTTTCCATCAGGTCTTATTCCATTGACCAGTGATGAAAGTGTGGATAGATTGTGCTACTCCAGAGTAAGTGTATCTTGAACACTGTTGCTAGAAACATGAGGAAGTTTTGAAGAGAAGGCTTCAGTTGACAAAAGTTTAGGCATGAAAGAGATTTGCATTGTTGACTCTATAACTCCCATGAGTGACCAGGAGCAAATTTCTCCCTATAAAGTCCATTCATTTTAAAGCAGAAAAGCTGTGAGATTAAAAATATATATAAATTAGGGGATTACTAGTTGATTCAATATCAAATTCTCAGAACTAACATTATCAGAATTCTATGGCAGACAGTAAGGAGAATCACTAAATTAAATGTAATCTTGGGAGTGAAAAGGTTGAACCCTGCAATGATACTGGTGCAGTGCTCCCATTAGCAAATTCCCCGAGTCTGCTGGGAGCTGAGGTACAATTTGTTTAATGGTCAGGTTTATTTTGTAGTTTTTAACTATTATTTGAACACTTTTTGACTTCACCCACTGCTTGTCAATGTTAAACTGTGCTGTCAAAGTACATTAATCTGACCAGACTGGGATTTCTTTTGTAAAAGGATTGCACATGTGAGGAGTTCTGTCCAGATTGTTCTGTTGAACTGAAACTAGAAGTAAAATGCACAGATGATCAAACACGACATGTGACAACCAGAGACCTTGCATCTTCAGATCCAAAAGTTATTCCAGTGAGTTATGCAGTTTTAAATTGAATTAGCTTTTTTCCATGGGCTAAGTGCATGATTCCATATAGTAGTAATTATGTGTTATTCATGATACAGGGTATGTATCCATCTAGAATTTAGCCACAAGAATAATTTAATTTCCAAGTTAACAGAGCAACTGAATTGATGACAGAAAGAAGCAAACATTACCTCCTTAATTTGTGAAGGTGTTTTCTCTTTCCTGTTGCAGCCATCTTTGACATGTTCAACCCAACTTAGAGGATTTGCTTCATTTCAGAAAAAATTGTATCATATTTGGAATGTTCTTTAAGTGTCCACGATTAGCTAATATATATGTACCTAAATACTCTGACACTTAAAAAGGTTATTCATTCATTCATTTATTCTTTGCATCTGTTTGTGTAGGTCACATCACGGCACCATGAAGATGAAAACAGTGACTATGGTGAACAGGATGGTAAGTGCTTGGTAGTTTTTTTGATCAATCCTCACATTTATTTTACAGGATCCCCATGGGGACACATCGCACTACTGATTCAGGGGTATCTATCCGTTTAGAATTTAGCTGAAAAAATAATCTAATTTTCGAGTTGACAGTTAGAGCAACATAATTGATGACAGAAAGAAACAAACATTTCCTCCTTAATTTGTGAACAATTCAAGGTATTAAATACCTGTAGCAGCCATCTTTGATATGTTCAACCCAACTTAGAGGATTTTCTTCAATTTAGACAGATGTTCACATTTTGTTTTCCTTTGATGTCCCAGCCTTTCAAAGTTGATTTATATACTGCAGATAAAAACATTTCACATGGAATTTAAAGCCATTTGAGCCTGGATGTTGTGTTGTAGAGTTACTAATTTTTGTGGTTCCCACCACTTTTCAGACATTTTGATTGTTAAGCTACGTAAAGGACAGGTAAGATGTCTCTAATGCTCAGGTGAACACCTTAGTTTTTTAATGGGAAATGTGCCACAAAGTTTACATTTATTTTACAAACCATAATGCAAGCAGCCACTGTACAACCATGTGCCTTTTATTAAATATTTTTTTAATATGAAATTCAAGTTTTAAAGGTATTTAGCACCTGTACCTTTGATTGACGTTCATTTACATGTACCTTTCTCTCTCAAAATTATTTACAGGAGCTCAAGTTGCGAGCTTTTGCCAAAAAGGTAAATTACATCTTCCATCTATGTTTTGTTACATGATTAGATTAGTGTATGCTGTTCCTACATCTGAATTTGCTGTGATATTGCTAGGGATTTGCAAAGGAACATGCCAAATGGAACCCCACAGCAGGTGTGGCATTTGAGTATGACCCTGACAATGCCCTAAGACATACAACGTATCCAAGACCGGAGGAATGGTAAATTTGCTTCAACTTAATTTGCTTCTTCGTTTCAGTAAACCTTTTGAATAGCAAGTCTGACCAATCTTACATTAGCCTGTGTGTAGCTGTACCCTCCCCCACCCCCAAGGTGAAATGGAAGGGACAGAACGTCTCTAATCCTTGGCAGGGAGGGGAGGGGAGGTACAGCTAATTTAAGATTGGTCAGACTTGCTATTCAAAAGTGGTATTGTTTTTTTTAGAAATTCTTCAGCATTCCTCTTCCCATCATTTTAATTGATTTTCATGTAGATTTCTCAACATTATATCTTAGGCCAAAGAGTGAATACACAGAACTGGATGAAGATAGCCGTAAGTAGATAATTTCCCTGAATTACCAAACTAAGGTGTGACCAGACAATTAAAACTTTGGAGCAGTTTCCAAGGTATGGTATAATTTGAAAGTTATACTTGGATCAACTTGGAACAACAAACTCTACTTGTGAAATGATACATTTACTTAAAAACTGAAATTGTTAGATGGTGACAAAAGTTCCCTGTTTGTTTTTTTCAGATCAAGCACCATTTGATCCAAATGCTAAAGCAGACAGATTTTATATAAATGTTGAGGTAAGATAAAGATTTGAAGGGATTTTTTTGGTTTTTATTTCTTTTCTAAATTCCATTTTAAACCTCTTTGTTTTACTGTTTCATTTTGTTTAATTTATTTTTCTATATTCAATTTTTAATTTAGTTTATATATAATATTTATCTACATAAAATACCTAGACATACAGTAATACAATTACTAACACAACTTACATGGCTACGAGGCTAACATACATGTAACGGAAATAATGAGAACGTACAAAACTAGTTTAGCTTACACTGCTACAGTGTAACTTTGATATGTATCTTGTGTTAGTGATGCAAAGTCTAAGTGTTTAGACACTTTACTTACTCAAATACAGAAATAATTGTTTGCATAACATTTGATTAACATTAAAAAAAACATTATAATAAAAGCATCGTGTACAAAATGAAAGAATAGTTGTAAAAATTGTAGTAATTATAACATTAATAATGATGATAATGATAAAACTAAATACCAGCAAGAAAAAATAGCCATAGCAGGCAAGATCTTTGCATTTGTAAGGTATCATTTAGATAGTTTACATTTTTGTCAAGTGTAAACACTTTGTAAGATGCTAAGCTGTATCCAGCATTTGGAAACTTTTTTATTTTAAATCTAGAACAAGTCTTATGTTGCTGTTCTGTATTTTGTAGTCCTGTGGTTCATTAAGACCTGAGACTATCGTGTTGAGTGGGCTGTCTGTGCTCAAGAAAAAGCTGAGTGATCTCCAGACTCAACACAGCCATGAAGTAGCTGCTGATGTCTTAACCATATAAGGACTGACACCCAGTGCAATGTTGCTGTAGTTATTTATTTTATAATAGAAAACTCATTTTGTAATGAAAAGATTTGATAGCCACTTGAAGTAATGTGTTCTTATCAACAGAAACAACCATGTTTCACTAAAATTTTTCAGAGGTTTAATTCAGCGGAATGGTGATTTTTGTGTTCTTTGCATCTTAAGATAACGGATATTTCTCCAGGCCAAACCACTCCTGTTCACTCGTAAATTGAGTGTTTGCTTCCCCCTCGCGCGTGAAAAATTAAAAAATTGATACTCGTATATGGAAATTAATGGGAAATCTTCGTTTCAATCATTAGTTTTGGGGTCTATGCTTTTCTTGGGTAAGCTGCAAATGAGAAATCATAGTGCTTTGATATATTGATAAAGACGGTGCTTTTTCTCCCTCATGCTTGTGTGTTTCTATCACCATGGTTTTTAGCCATGGTTGACAGAGTTAGCTGTAATCCTGTGTGAAAAAGGAGGGCCTTTTGATTTTTAATTGTCACATTTGAATTAGAAAATCTTGGTGAAATTTAGTCCTGCGATATCATGACGGCAAATAACTCTCAGATCGCGCTGAAATTGCAGCTAACTTGCACTGCTTAAGAGAAAATAAAATTCTGCCCCAGACCTCCACCCACTTTCTGAAGAACACAAGGTTTTGCATTCTACTTGCCATATAGTTCCAAATGCTTGCAACGTCTTAAATTACATGTTGCACAGCTGTACTTACTTAGCGATGCCTTCCTTGATGATGACTGATTCTTTATAGTGCTGGGTTTTAATTAATGGGATTGTTGCGGAATTCTTATTACCCCGCTCGCTGGTTCAACCAAATCATGAGGACTGTATCTTTCGATGTAACATGATTTAATGTACAATTTTCACGTATTCAACGGTCGTAACAACTATCAACGACCAACGACCAACCAACACATTCTAGGTATTTCTATTATCCTTGCGTGAGGTGGTATTTTTACATTCATCACATGTACAGTAAAAGTTCCCATTGTAATGTATCAAAATTAAGTGACTATTACAAAATCGCTCGTTCTTTCGCCTAAGAAAATGCATGCAGTTACATCATTTTATGTCGTAAATGTACGAGGACTTTGTCTACATTGTTGTGAAATCTAATGTCACGAAATTTAACTTCTTTGCGTTACAATTGTCAATTCCTAGTTAATATTCAATTACAAAATAATATAATATAATAGCATAATATTTCTTTCCCGACAGGGATCTTGCCATCGTCAATTTCATATTCACTTTGGTTACAATGTCATTTACTGAGGGATCTCGACTCCCTTCGAAACTAAGTACTATTAACCAGTTGACCCTTGAACTCCTTAAGTGTGACCAGCATCTAATTTCTCCTTTAAATATCACCCCTGAATCAAACATTAAGGTCACGAGAATCAAGGAAATGATAACCAACTTATAAATGTAAAAAGAACAGTATGGAGAATGTGCACACTGATGTCAGGGTGTGAAGGGCTAACCGCTCTAATGTGACTTCGTAGGTTTGTTAAGTCTTCGCTGACTTTGTGTCTTTAGCTAGATCTTTTCGTTGACTTTGTGTCTTGTGAAATCTTGTTGACTATGTGCGTTTGCTAGATTTACGTCAATTAGTCCCTTAGTGTTATGTGAGATCTTACTATCTTCCCTAAGGCAGTCAAGAATCCCTGTGCTTTCTTGCTGTAAAGGACGTAAGGTGACACGTTTTTTCTACGATTTCTTTTTTCTTGAAAAGTGTCGTCATCGTGGTCTTTTTGGACTGCAAGAGAAGAATCATTTACTCCATGGCAAATAATGCAGAGGCATCGTGGGATCAATTTACAGGACTGATACTCGAAGAAAAGGAATGAGTGTTCAGCTTTTTCGGTTTTTTTTTCGTGCTATTTCTCCTTCTATAACTTAATGAATTCCATTTCTTTTTAAATTTTTACTCGGAAAAAATTCGGAGATAATTGACGCTTAACAGGACTCATACAATCTCTTTCACTCAAAATCAACCATGCAACAGACCGAAAAACTGGATAGTGTTTGGCCGCAATTTATTCCAGTTTCTAAAATACAAAGCGGGTCAAAGTACATAGTATATAATTCGATCAGTCACCGTCATCGGTAATTTCCCAACATTGAGATAAGCTTCCAAATAATATGACACATTCGTGCACCCAGATAGGTATGCGGGGGTGAAAGAGCGGGACAGAAGGGATCTGCTACCCATGATACGGGTACCCTCTATAAGAGAATTAATGTAATGTTTTACGGGACCTACCTTTTTGAAACACACTTCGTATTTTTCATCCTCGCTCGATGTTGTTGTTGTTTCTGGGCTGGTCTTCTGTTCACCTGGCCTAATCTGCTTGGGTTTGGCGCCAGGGTCTGTACATTGTCGTCTCAAATCCTACACAGCAAAATAAGAAAAGTTACGTTATGCATGAATAGGGTCATGTCTTCAGGGCTGCCAAACATAAAGAACTGCTGGACAAAATGGGGTGGAGCTGTGAATTTTCTATTTGAGGGTCCAACATTTTATTCAGTACACAGTTATTTTCTTTTTTCCACTATAGCCCTTATAGGCAGAAAATATTTCAAGATAATAAAAATTAAAATATTTAAAGTTGATTACTAATATATGATCATGTCGTTGGAAGAACTTTGGTTTCAGACAAGTGATATGAATACCCAGAGGTCAGTTGG